GACAATACCAGCTAGATTAAAACTAAAGCATGATATGAAAACGAAGTTAACCAGACTTCAAAAATCTGTTATAAAGATCAATCCAGAAGATATAAAATTATTTATTCCTTTGAATATAAAATTTCAAACTCAAGGTCTTGATAAAAATTGTAGAATAGCTATGCAGTTATTGGCTCTAAAGTGGCATAAAATCGAATCTGGGCCTACTAAACTGATTTTGGTTACAGTAAAGACAGAATTTTTAAGAAATTATAGAAAGGAAACAGTCCCCGAATGGATCATAAATGACTTTGATATCTTAGAATGCGTTGTACTATCGACATCACCTAATAATGTTAGTTAAAATCAATTATTTGAGATGGATTTTGGCAAAATAAAAAAATTTTAAATTTAAAATATATTTATTTTTAATTAAGGAAGGTATATTTTTTAGCAAAGGATATTTCTCGTTTTTTAGAAAGTAAGAAGTATGAGAGGAGCTGAAATCGACTCGAACCATTACCTCGTTAAAGTCACATGTGGGAGAAGGCTGGAAGAAAAAGAGAAATCGAACCATAAAACGAAGAGAAAGTACAACATTGAAAAACTTAAGGAAGTAGAAATAAAAAATAAATATGAAGAAGAAATAAATAAAATTCTACAACAATGTGACCAAAGTTTAGAGACAGATCAACCCTACGAACAAATTAAATCTGCCGTAGGAGAAGCTAGCGAGAAAATAGTTGAGTGCGACTCCAAGAGAAGTACAAACAAATATCGGTTTGACGAAGAGTGTCAGACGATAGCAAAGGAAAAGAATAAGATCAGACAACAAATATTAACAGATAATCCTCCTCCTCCTCCTCAGTCCTAATCCCTTTTATGATGTGATGACACCATTAGGCCTTCACAGTATTTTTACGATTTCCCTCCATCCTTTTCTGTCCTGGGTTAGTTGTTCGGCTTCATGTAACCCTTGGTTAATCAATATTTTTGTTTGATCTACCCACTGGCTTGGAGACCTTCCTCTAGGTCTTTTTCCTTTAACTCTACCCTCGACTATCAGTTTTTCGATCGTTCCTGTTCTTCTAGCAATGTGTCCAAAATAGTGCAAATATCTCTGTTGTATTTGTTTAAGCAATCTATCCTAAACTGTCCACGTTTCGGGTGCATATGTGGCTATGGGAACAGATTATAGAGAGTGTATAAAACAAGAATATAGAATAATTCAAGGAAGATTGAGAGCTTTGTGTAGAAGGAAAAAGAGATACCACAATGAGTTGAAATTAAAAGAGATAGAAGAGAAGTTTAAAAACAAAGAGATGAGGTCGTTCTATCAAGAAGTTAAAAATGGGAAAAGGTTACCAAAGCCACTATAGTTATATAAAAGGTAAAGACGAAAATTTAATTAGCGATCCGGCAGAAATAATGACGGAATGGAAAAAACATTTTGAAGAATTATTAAATGGTGAGGTGGACCACGAAGCAGTAGACAACTGGACGGTTGGAGAAGGTGCGATAGTTGAAAGGCAGCTTACAGAGGAGGAGCTGGTGGTAGCAATACAAGAAATGAAAAATAACAGAAGTCCTAATAAAAATGACATATGCATAGAAATGATCAATTTTGGTGGAGAACAACTACAAAGAAAATTATATCAGCTACTAGTGCAAGTATGGGAAAAGGAAATAATGCCATCGGAGTGGTATGAGGCCCGTATAAGCCCTCTGCATAAAAAAGGAGACAAAGTGAAGTGTGACAACTATAGATGTACAGCCTTACTAGACACGGTATACAAAATCTGGGCAAGAATATTTAGAAATAAACTAAATTGCTACACGGAAAAAATCCTACATGAATATCAGACCAGCTTTAGAAAGGACAGATCTACTGTAGACCAAATCTTCTCATTAAAGGTGATACAAACGACTTGTTATGGATGGAACATTTGGCTATACCAAAGAAACTGATCCGGCTAGTAAAAATGACATTAAATAACTCTAAGTGTGAAATTGCTTGGCAGGGTCACATATCAGATCAATTTACGGTTGCAAAAGGCTTGAGACAGGGAGATCCTTTATCCACTACATTATTCAACTTAGTGTTAGAAACTGTAATCAGAAAATGCAACATAAAGGTGGAAGAAACAATCATGAAAAATGAGCACCAAAAACCGAAAAAGAATTAAGAAGAGTTGTGAAGAAAATCATCGAAGAAGCACAGAAATTTGGATTGGAACTAAATAAAGACAAAACCAAATACATGATCATGGGAGGGACAGAAGGGAAAAAAGAAGACTTTAGTGTGAGGTCTGTAAGTGGTAAAAGCTATAGTTTTAAAAGTGTGGACAAATTTGAATATTTGGGTGTAGTTTTCGATGAAAATGAAAAAGAGAAATGAAAGCTCGAAGCCAGAATAGCAAAAGGGAATAAAAAATTAGGTAGTTTAAGAGCCCTACTGAACTCAAAATACGTTTCTAGGCAAGGTAAACTCAGATTATATAAAACAGTAATTCGACCCACAGTAACATATGCCGCTGAGACATGGATATTAAATAAGAAGGAAGAGGATACTCTGGAAAGATGGGAAAGGAAAATATTGAGACGCATATTCGGAGGACGGAAGACCGAAGATGGTTGGGAGAGAAGAACCAACAATGAATTAATGGCTTTATACAAAGAACCTACCATTACCAAGTTCGTCAAGCCACAAATAATCAGATGGTTGGGACATGTGGAAAGAATGTCAGCAAACAATGCCCAAACTAGTAATAACCAGAAAACTAATCGGCCCCAAAAGAAGAGGTAGACCCAGAACGAGGTGGATTAGTAAAGTTTAGGAAGACCTTAAACACGTGAAGGTTTTCCTTCACGTGTTTCACGAAGGGACTGGAAAAGGAAAGCACAAAATAGAAGCGAATGAAGAAATATTGTCCACCAGGTCCTTCAGAGTAGTTAAGAATGTTGTATATACATATTTAAGTTAAAGTTTTGTTTAAAATAATTGTAATTAGTTAATATTAGGATTATGTGTAAAAGAATGCACTGGGCCTTAACGGCATGTTGTGCGTAAAAAAATATTTCTCGTTTTTTATTCTTTTGCTGTAACATTGAATGTATCACCTTATGTTTAATAGTTTAATTTGATCTTCGATAGCCCATGCCATGGTTAATCTGGTTTGTTAGGAGCTATTCATATTATATACTAGAAGAAAAAATGACATGACCTTGAATGGCGAGCTGGCCCAAATTATATTCTAACCTTTAGGGGGTCAATAGCATTGTAAATTTAAAATCGCAACTGAATCCAACTGTTACTTTAGCTGCCATTAATCTTAAATTTAAAAATGAAAAAACAGAACCATTTTTGCTCAATATCTCCGCTATTTTTAACTTTTCGACAAAAATGGTAAGGACTGAAATTGTTGCAAATGCGATTTCCTATCGATATTTTTCAGTCGATATAGGATTGTGATAGTTGAGTGATAGTATAGTTGATAGGTGATATACCTAGATGAACTGATTGACAAGATGGACACCGTTCATAGGTATCTTGTCAATCAATTACCAGCTGTAGTCCGTTTGAAGAGGGTTACTCTCCGGACACTGGAACTCACTTCAAGCATGTTACCTGAAGTCAAATTTTATTTAATATTTAACATCACAGTTTTATAACAACAATATGTACAATCTTTAATAACTACATGTAATTTAAAGGCTTCTTACCCTGGTATTTTGGTGGCTCAGGCATTTTAACCTAGCAATTTTAAACCTGATGATGGACTGTTTAGTCCAAAAACGTTTGTTTTTTTGATGTGGCCCTTTTAAGGGTTTTTAAATAAATATACCCATTTACGAAAAATTCCATCCATACACAATAAGATCAGTTCAGGAGTTCTCAGATGATGATTTCAATCAACGTAAAGAGTTTGCGGACAATGTTACAATCAAATTTTTTTAATCAATGGAAGTGTAACTCCTTGTAACAATCATTGTTGGATGCGTGAAATAAAGGTAAATATTTTCAATTATATTTTAATGTAAAAATTTCATTATTCGAAACCTTCAGACAATAACAATATCCCAAACGACAATATTTGGCTCGAATAAGATGGTGCTTAAGATGGGCAGGACATCTAGCAAGACCACAGCAGAACAACCCTCCTAGAAGAATCCTTATGTCACAACCCGTGGGAAGCAGAAAAAGGGGTAGGCCAAAACTCAGATGGAAGGATGGTGTAGATGAGGATGGTAGAAAGATAGGCGCAGCAAACTGGCAACGGTTGGCAATGGATAGGACTGCCTGGCGTAATAGACTTGGGAAGGTCGAGGCTCTTTCATAGGGCTGTAGCACCATTGATGATGATGAAGATGGTGCTCCACTTCACTATGCTCATGTTCTGAGGCAATACCTAAATAATGTGTTTCCCAGAAGATGGATAGGAAGGCGTGGTTTTATCGAATGGACCTCGCAATCACTTGACATGAATCTTTTTGACTATTTCCTGTGGAGTCACTTAAAAAACATCGTTTATAAAACAAAAACTTGCCAATATTCAGGATCAAAAGATAAGATCAGAGATAAGAAAAATTGAGTAGTCAGAAATAACGTAAAATGTATTACTAAATAAACGGACAATATTTTGAGAATCTGTTGCAATCGCCTTTACTTTTTTTTCTAAAATTCTTCATTTTTCCACTACTAAAATATTGACATAACATGAATTTGTTTTTCAATTCAAAATTTCAAATCAAAATTATACATATTTTATATTACCCGTAAATATACATCGTCACATTTCAATTTTCTTCATTGAAATACTTAGTTTGTGATAGCTAAAACATGAGACAAATCTGTGGACTTTATTTTTACTTTCTATTCTCGTGGGCGTGAAAAAATACTAACGCTTTAAATTCACACAGATGAATTATTCATCGCACAGATTTTTTTTATATTAAACTTGAAATCTATAATTATATTAAACTCTATTTGTAATAATAGTTGACTTTTTGTTTTGTTTCAGATCAAAAAACGCAGCTTTAAATAACAGACATGCCTATTTTCTTCTAGTAGATAATGGAACTGTAGGAAAATATGGTGCCGAGATTATACTTCGAAGGAAATTGGAAAAGTACATATCAAAACAAAGGCTATATCCATGTAAGTAAAAGTTAAGAGGGATATAAATAACTACGGCGCATGGGCAACAATATGGCAAGCCAGGGTTTTATAAACAGTGCCACACTTTTTTTTTTGACATCTATAGACTTACGTAGCTTTCTTTGACTGGTATGGTTTTAAACAAACTTCCTTAATTTTTTATTCAATTAGGGGCTATTTATTATGCTGCTTGATTCTCATCTTCTCATGTATTTGTCTCCAACGTGTAAAATAACAATGGATCGTAAATTTAGATTTACCAAATACATAGGCAAGAGCACAGCAATATCGATAATCTCAACAGCCGTTGCGATATTAGTTGGGGCTAAATCACCCATTATGAATACCAGTATACCAGGGAATGAAAAAGCTGATAATCTAGCTAAAGAAACAGTAGAAAATGGAGTCTTTTACAATATTTTATACAGTAAGGGATATATTTAACTTAATAAAAAATAAAATAAAGTTGAAATGGGAAAACCAATGGGAGAATATTTCCAGATATACCCCACTTTACCACTCCCACCATAATAGTTACTCGACTACCAAATTCTTCTCGGCAAGTGTATTTCGTCTAAAAATGAGTCATGGTCGATTCCAGTCGCATTTATTTAAGCTTGGTATATCACCAATACCATCCTGCAGTTGTGATAGAACTTCTTACGGAGAACAATATTGTCTTTGGCTGCAACAAATATTTAGAAAAATCTAATAAATGAATTCATACTCTTATTAAAACTAAATATTTGCTTCCGTCAAGTCTATCACACATTTTGTTAACTGCTAATAGAGAAACCTTAGAATTGCTAATAAATTTTTATAAGATATAAAAGTAGAAATATAAAATAATTTAACTTCAGTGACTTATACACATATCTAAAAAATCAAAACAAATAAGAACAAACAAAATATCTTTAAACATAAATAAAACATTCTGTGGCTGATGGACTTGTTTCCGTGCCATATCTTTCACACACACGCCAATTATGAAATGTTTTACGATTTAGTTTGTTTAGATGTTTTTTATTATGCAGCATAGGGATTTTAGAGTAAATACTAAAATAAAATTAAACTAAATATTAATGTCTAATTTACACAGCCATTAAACCGCTTCTGGGCGACATTCCCACATCTAATATCTCGGACATATTACACTTGGAGAGAAATACACCTTGCTGCAACTAATTATGCATGGAAATATCCAAGGGAAGAGAAGCATAGGGAGGCGTAGAATGTCATGGCTGCGCAACCTGAAAGAGTGCTACGGATGTACGTCAAATGAACTTTTCAGAGCAACCGTCTGAAAAGTCCGAATAGCTATGATGATTGCCGACCTCCACCGCGGATATGGCACGTGAAGAAGAAGGGGGACATTCCACACAGTCCTGGATGTTTCCATGGTAGGCACGATTTGGGAAGTCTGAAACACAGTGGTTTGTGGTCTGTCTAGGTAATCCGCAAACGCGTTGACCCTCCGCACGGACCCATTTATACAGCGAATCAACCCGTACGTATGCGATTAAGCCTCGCCCAGGTGGACCAGGGCAGATCCGATGAAACCTTGAGTTGAGGTGGATATCTGGGTATAGATTGATTCTATTGTTGAGATTTATCTTATCCTTACGCTGGTGCGTGGTGGTGGTCAGTCCCTGGTGCTCTTTTGTGATGTGTGGAATATCTTGATGGATTGGTAATTGTACGTTGGATACAATTTTCTGTTACTCTCTCTTGCTAATGCTGCTGTACGGCGTTGATCTAGCAGAGCAATATTCTCAAAATAGGGGAGCCATCTCACTGAGGTTGATTTTATCGTTCCATTGATTATTCTTATGATTTGATTAAGTTGGAGATCGATTTTATTGGTATGTACACTGCTTAGCCCTTCAAGTGCACAATATTCTGCTACTGAAAACCCAAAGCTATCGCAGAGGTCTGAAGTGTATCTGCAGAAGCACTCCAAGTTGTTCTAGTAAGTTTTTTTATTATATTCTTTTTTGTTCTCAGTTTACCGGCTGCGTTTGTAAGATAACTTTTGAATATTAAGGTTTTATCAAGTTTGATGTCTGGATATTTGGGATTGTTATTATGTTTGATAGCTGTGTCATTTAGAGTTACATTGAGAGTAGTAAGTCGACTCGACAAAGATACAAGTGCCAGTATTGTTTGTATTAGTACGTAAGCGCCAGATCTTAAAGTAGATACTTAGTGTAGTTAGATCTTCGTTTAGAGCTCGTTCTCCTACTTTTTTGCTTTTATTTTGGAAGACACTGGCTAGGTCGTCAGCATAAGCGAATTTTCTTTATTATCTTTCAAATATATGAGATTGTATGAACAGCAGTAAATCAAACTAAGATAACGTATGTTCTAAAAGTTTTTGCACAAAATTAATTGGTTAGTATATTAAAAAAATAAAATAATATTAAGTTGCCTTTGGAAACAAAAGTTCTTTACTTTGTTTATTGTCTGTTGAGATTTATTTATTTATAAATTAGAGATAAGAAAAAGAATCTACAAATTGGTTGGGCGGGTAACCAAAACTGAAATCTGTCGAATTACTTTAAATTTTACATTGTACCTACAGTGTTCTCCAAAATAAAGAGTTCCGAACATCTTATTTATTTTTTAATTTAAAGGAATTTATATGTTGACATTTTGTCTTACAAACAAGTTCCATAACTAGTTTGCGGACTCATCAACATGTATTTATAAAGAGTGGTTACTGCAGTTGTTGAAAACAGATTATTATCTCTTGTGCTAGTTCTCTAATATCTGCTGGCGGAATATTTGGTTTAAATACGGAATACTCATTCGTTCAGTATGCTATATCCGGTAAGTGGGCTGGGTAGTTGAAGTTTTGTTTCTCGAAAAACTATTCTGTTGTCAAAATATTCGTAAAGTAAGGCTAGGAAGCGTAATATAGCTGTGTGCTGTATGTATTGCTCCATCATGTTGAAACCATTGTCAGTGCATCTGCAGATTTCTCTTCTTCTTCTTTTTTCTCTCTATAAGCAATTCTGCTTGTTCATTGGCGGATTAATACCTCTATGGAAAGTGGTCACTCCATCGTTTGAGCGATCGTCCGATACTTCTTCTGCCGATTGGACTTATCTCTTGCTATTTTGACGACAAGGGTCTCCTCCATTCTGCTTATGTGGTTATTCCATTCTTTTGTTCTATTTTGTGTCCATTCATTTATACACTATCCGTTACATTTTTTTCTAGTGTCTTTACTTCTCTTTCGATCTCTTCTTCTCTTATCACTGCCATTTCCAGTAGCCTTTGCGTTGTGGCTATGTCGGGTCTTGTTTCTGAGGCATATATCATTATTGATCTTACACTGGCTTTATAAATTCTTGACTTCGTCTCAGTAATAATCTGTCTTTTTCGCCATATGGTGTTATTAAGGCATACTGCCAGTCTATTTGCTTTTTGTACTTGATCTCTCACTTCTTTCTCCAGGTCTACATAGCTAGGCAGTGTAATTCCCAAGTATTTTCTTTCAATTACTTGTTCAATACTGATGCCATCAGTTTCTATTTTACATCTAGTTGATTCTTTACTCACTACTGTTGTTTTAGTTTTCTGAGATGAGATTGTCATATTAAATTCTTTTGCTTTTGTTAAATCTGTGGACCAGTCTTTGCAGACTATCTTCATCTTGATCTATCAATATTACGTCGTCTACGTAACAGAGTATTTTTATTTCTTTGTTTCCTATTCTGTATCCTCTTCCATTGTTAATGCTTTTGATGATTTCATCCATGATCAAATTGAAGAGCATGGGGCTCAATGAATCCCCTTGTGTTATTCCGTGCATCTGCAGATTTCGTACACAGTAACATGATTCTTTTTCATTCACAAATGTGTAATATGGTTCTTTCTGTAACGTTCTTTGTTAACAGTAACTGGATGCTCATTTTTATCTTCAACAAAATAAGGATCTATAATCATTCGACCTATAATTCAAGTCGACATGTGGATGTTTCACTAATATTCAGTTTATACGCAGTACGTCGAAAGTTTCGTTTTAGAGACTATTAGATCTGATCGGGGATGCGTCCTTGATTATTGCTAGAAAGATCTGTTTTTATATAACCGGAAGAGCCCTTGCGCTGACACAACAGTCTACCAGCTATTTCTCAACGGTTGCTAACAATACACTTCTACTGAAGGCCGCCTTGTTGAACACTTGTCGATATTTTTTAGATACTTGTTTCAAGCTTGGACCAGTATTCCGTTTATTTTCTTCTGAGCGAAAATAATCTATTATAAACATTTTCTTCTTAGTTGCGAGAACCATTTTTACGACGGTCTTAATACTTAGCAGGCTTTTTAAGTCCAATGAAATAAAAACGTATTTGTCTAAATTTCGGTATGTAATCTTTATTTTTTATTTTCAGTTACTCAAAGTCCTATACCAATAGTATGTTTAGTAATAGAAGGTGGTACCAACACCATAAGAGCGGTATTAGAATATGTAACTGATGAACCTCCTGTGCCAGTAGTTGTTTGTGAGGGATCAGGTCGAGCAGCGGATATAATAGCGTTTATGTGCAAGTAAGTATTAATAATAAAATAATTGGCGGGTGTTGGGGAAAAGTGATATAAGTCGAAAAATGTAAAAAATGAGTTAAATATAGATACCACTTTAAAATGCATGTATCTTTGATAGGGTGAAGTGATATAAGTCAATTTAATGCGGCAAGCAGGTGTTATTTGTTTGCGTTACATGATATAAGTATTTTTAATATCATTTAATATAGTGAAAAATGTTATAAGTATTCTAGTACTATTTGTTATGCCTCCATCTGCCAGACAGGAAAAAAAATTATAGAGAAAACTGAAATAAGTCTAGTTATAATAGTCTTCCCTATATAATTTTATGATTATTATTTGTGAATAGTGATACAAGTTCAAATATATCAAAAGTTATTGGTAAAATATAATTGTGAATAAAGGTATATGTAAAAATATATCACTATTGTCATTAAAAGATATAGGGAAAAACATTATATGTTGACATATCACAAATGTTTTAACTCCAAAATTGAAAACTGATGATGTATGTTGAGATATACTAGTAGTTACGGCAATAGAAATTCAAACTGTGAAGTTTTAGGTCGACTTACCTCGCTTTTCCCTATTAAAATAATGACCGCTTTGTACCCGCTCAATCGACTTGTCTGTCATTTGTGGTTTAGTACTGCACGTGTCTTACTGTTGGTTTTATCCAGTTTTGTTTTGACCTTTTAAATAAGCGTGTAGTGATAGTATTGCCGCTTAAAATGTAAAGACAGGATAACTGAAGAAAAACGACAGGAAATTTTCAAAGAATATTGGTCTTTAGCGAGCTTTAACAAACGCGTGTCTTTTATAGCTAGGCTTATAACAACAGACGAAAAGAAAACCACAAAACGTAAATTAGAAAACAAAAAACATAAAAATAGGCTTCTGTCACACAAATATTTTTTACCACTAAATGGTCAACTAGTTAACGTTTGTCAAAGTTGTTTCTTAAAAACTTTTAACGAAACAAAACGGTTTCTAACCGATGTGACAAAAAACAAGATTTCTTCAGCTTCTGCAATGCCACATGATGATTTGCGAGGTCTCGCCTCACCATCTAACAAAACTCCCGAACAAGATATTCAATTAGTAAGAGTTCACATTGGATCAATCCCAACGTATGAGTCACTATTGTCGTCGTGACTCATCAGAGATATATCTTCCTCATTACTATACCTTAACAAGAATGTATGAAGAATACAAAGAATGGCTACCCCACGAGAAAACCCCAGTATCGAAATTCAAATATCAAGAAGTATTCCATTCCATGGAAATAAAAATCAAACAGCCTAAAAAGGATACCTGCGCTACATGCGATAAATATCATATGCTCCTGACAACAACTAAAGATGCACAAAAAATGCAAGAAATTCAAAATCTTCTTGATAATCACCAACAAGAAGCATCAAACGCTTATGAGGCTAAGCGTATAGATAAAAATGCTGCGTTAGAAAATGAATCAAAAATCATTTATACGTTTGATTTGCAACAGTGTCTCCCCACACCTGATCTTCAGACTTCAATAGCATTCTATAAAAGGCAGTTGTGGACCTTTAATTTAACATTACATAGATTTAATGATAATCAAGCAATGTGTTTTATGTGGCATGAGGGCGTAGCTGGACGGGGTGCAAATCAGATTGCATCATGCTTATACAAGCAAATTTCACATATTTCACCTGAAATAAAAGAGATCACCTTATATTCTGATACGTGTGCAGGACAAAACAAGAACTCTTTTCTACCTGCAATGTTCATGATGGTTTTAAAAGAGAATCCCAATCTATCATACATTAACCACAAATTTCTTGTTCCTGGTCACACCCACATGGAGTGTGATTCAGATCACGCAATTATAGAGAAAAAAAAGAAAAGATATCCATGTTCGATAGAACACCCAAGAGACTGGATGAACTTGGTAAGATTATGTGGAAATAAGCGAACTTTTTTAGTTACTGAAATGTGTAGATCGGATTTTCTTGAGTTTTCTTCTTTGTATAAGAATGTCCTTCAACAAAGAAAAATTAACAACTTAGGAGAAAAAGTCATGTGGAAACAAATGAAATGGTTGAGATTTTCACAGAATCCTGGTGTCGTTGAATACAAAAGTAGCTTAAATGTAGACGAACCATTTAAAAGCGTAAGTTTTTCAAGAAAAGGTAATACGTGGCTTAAAAACATAAAAATTCCTCTGTCATATAAAGGTCCCAATCCAATAAACATCGATAAAAAAAAGAGCTTGATAGAGCTATTGCCTTATATTTCTGAAACATTTCATGATTTTTATAGAAATTTAACTACGAAGGAGGATATACCAAATACGTTACCCGAGGATGAAAATAGTAGTGACGAGGAGAGTGTACACACAGAAATTGAAATTTTTAAAAATTAAATAAACTTTTAATTGTTGTTGTATTTGACTATAACGTAATTGACGTTGTATTTGACTATAAATGTACCCCCTTAACTAAACATAAAACTTTTCAGTTTCACATTTTTTTATTTATAATTAATAATTAGATTTGTTACTATATCTTCCGGAAGGGCTTTTTTCTTTAATAAATAATTGTGAAAAGTGATATAAGTCATATTTTTCTTAAAAAAATTGTACAACTAGGTCCTTTTTACTAGTAGATCTATTTTAGTCCAACAAATTCAAAGCCATTTCCAAAAATTGTTTAACGAAAATATCTTATTTGTATCCGTAACAACAATATTAAATTTGAAAAAACTATAATTGCGTTTTTCTCGAAACTTAAAATTTAGACTTATACCACTTTTCTCCAACACCCGCCAATTGTAAAACATTGTCCATATATATATATATATATATATATATATATATATATATATATATATATATATATATATATATATATATATATATCGGTTTCAAAACGTCTTGCGTCGTTGTCCGATGCCTAATTTCCACGAATTTCTATCATTCCATTGTTCTTCGGTTAAGTCTCGGGAGCTCATTGCCTTATTCCCTCCTTCCATGTTCTTTTTGGTCTTCCTCGTTTCTTACGATTTGGTGGTATCCATTTCATGGCGATTTTTGATAGTCTTGTTTCTGGCATTCTTTGAACATGGCCATACCATATAAGTTGTTTCGTATCTATGTCTGTAGCCAGTGATTAATCTACCCCCATCCGATTCCTTATTTCATAGTTTCTAATTCTGTCTGCCCTAGATATTCGAAGTGATCGTATAAATACATCCATTTCTGTTGCTTCGAGTTTTCTTTTATTGCTTTCTGTTAGTCTCCATGTCTCTGTACCATGGGTTAAACTGGTTTTTATGAGAGATTCATATATATTGTATTTTCGTCTTTTACCAATTTCTGAGCTCCAAAGAACTCCGTTAAGGCATCCAATTGTTCTACGGGCCTGGGTTATTCGTTTTCTAATTTTCCTATTGTCTGTGCCTGTGGTGTCGAAATCAATTCCTAGGTAGGTATATTCAGTGCAGAATGCAATTTCTGTTGTGTACATCTGAATGTTGGATAGTTCTGCGCCTATTGGGAGATATTTTGTTTTTTGTGTATTGAGTTCTAAACCCCACTTTTTGTATTCTTCCTGTAGTTTTCTGGCCATATATGTCAGGTCTTCTTTATCGTTGGCTATAAGGACTTGATCGTCTGCAAACTGTAAGGTATATAGGCAAGTTTCTCCCAGGTAAATGCCCATTCCTCTGCACTTTCTCCTTTACTGATACAGTGCTTTCGCCACGTAGATTTTAAACAATGTGGGGGAAATGCAACACTCCTGCCGGAGTACCTTGTTTACAGGAAATTTTTTTGAAAGTCTATTTCCAATTTTTATTCTCGGCGTTGATTTTTCATAAAGCTGTTTAAGAGCGTTAATTACTGTGTGGTGGTTAATGTTTGTTTCCTGCAAAACTTTCCATGGCTTTTTAGCGGGTACAGTATCATAGGCCTTCTGAAGGCCTATAAACATAAGGTGGGTTTCTTGGTTGGTACTTGATCTTTTTTCTATTATTTGTTTCAAAACAAACACATTATCGGTGCAGTTCCTTCCCGCTCTAAAGCCAGATTGTTCCTCTTCTTCTTGTTCCTTATATTCTTGTTCGATAATGTCTCGAAGTATCCTTCCATATAGGCAACTTAAGGTACTGGTTACTGATATACCTCGATAGTTTGAGCAGTCCAGTTTACTTCCCTTCTTATGTATAGATGATATGAAGGATACTTTCCACTCATGCGGGACTTGTGCACCGTTTAGATATTGGTTTATACACCAGGTTAATCATTCAAACAGTTTGTTAGTGCCGCATTTGATTAGTTCTGCTGGAATTCCCTCCGGACCTGCAGCTCGACCATTTTTTAGTAGTTGTATCGTTTTTATGACAGTCCTCTCATTGTCCAAACTATTTTCAACTATTTTAAGAGGTTCTAAAACTGTTTTTTGTGGCGTGTTAGTTAAATATTGTATTTATATCGCATTATATTATATTTATTATATTAAGTAAGATGAGACCTGCTTCTTTGATTTTTCTCTTTTTCATGTCTGTTTCTTTCATGACTATTGATACATCTTTCCATTTTACACTGTGCTCATTGTCCCAGGCATGTTTGCATATCTGTGAATGCTGATTTATTCTGACACTTAGTGGTCTTGCGGTTTCTCCCACATAAAAATTGTTGCATTCACAGGGTATTTTATAGATGCAGTTCTTTGATCTCTCTTGTGTGTTTTTGTTTTTGGTTTTGGACAGAATAACTCTCAGTGTTTTGGTTATGTTGAATGATGTTGTAATGTTTTACTTATTTCGTATTTTTTAAAATTTTTTCTGATAAGCCTTTTACGTATGGTATTATTGTCATCTTTACAAGATTGAGGCCAAGTAAGTCAACCGTCAATTTGGAAAAGAATAACAGCCAAATTACTTGGTTACATAACAGCTCACTATTTTAAAATGATCTTTTTTGAAAACATTTTCCGTAGTCGAATTCGAAAAGTCAAAATAAT